GCTATGAGATGCACATGATTTTAAGTATTGCTGAAGTTCTCTCTGGGGTTTTCAGAGTGCTTTATAGACAGTCTTAGGTAGGGAAAAAGTCAGTGAAGTACAACAAAGTGCTGAAGCTTACAACTTGTTGCTAGACCTGTACAAACTGAGGTTTACCAAGTCCACATTAAAATGGTGATTTGACTTCCAATATAATTCTCATTCTTTTCTAAAAAAGGTTTTATTTATTTTAAGAGAGAGGGGAAAGGAGGGAGAAAGAGGGGGAGAAACATCGATGTGTGGTTGCCTCTCGCATGCCCCCTACTGAGGACCTGGCCCACAACCCAGGCATGTGCCCTGACTGGGAATCGAACCAGCGACCCCTTGCTTTGCAGGCTGGCTCTCAATCAAGTGAGCTGCACCAGCCAGGGCTAATTCTCATTCTTTTGTTGTTTCAGTGCGAAGGTCATTTAAAAAAAAATGGCTGCCTTTGGCTTTCATTTTTTTGCTACAGATGTATGACATACATTTGGGGGGAGTGTCCAGAAAAGTATGTTCTCAGGTATGGTTAGGTCTGCATTGTTAATCCGGTTTGGAGTTTGTACAATTTAAAAGATGCTCAGCTTAACATTAATTATATTTCCATGCGCTAAATTATGAGTGTCTGGATATCACTATTTAAATATTTGATATTTGGTTACTTGGATATATTTTTAGAATATCCCAGGAATGTGTATCAGTGTGTTTGTTGCTTTGTAATAATTTTACAATAGATTTTATATGGGTCTCTTATTAGATAGAGAGTGGTTAAAATGTCTTTGTTTCTAGTATGAGAGATTTCTTTTAAAAAATGGTTTTAAGACAAAACTGAATAGAGTTATGATTTAAACCAAAGTGCATGGGATTAATAAAACCTAGGGTCTGGTTTACAGTAAGACACCTTTATTAACAAATACTTTAGTCCAGTGTTGGGCCTAAAGTAGGGGCTCAGAGAAAATGTGTAACTTGATTGATCTAACAAGTAACCATCTGCTTTATGAAACTCTGGTGTTAAGCAGTGTTAAGGATTTAGATGTGGATATTGAAAACCACTGTGGGTTTTTAAAAATGCAAACAACTTACTGTGTTCTGGCTGTACTTTAATTATCTAAATTGATTGAAAGTAAACAGTATGGGCCTTAAGTCTGTCTAAAACAGTAGGAGATAGGTTTTTTGTTTGTTTGTTTTTTTTTTATCCTAACTCGAGAACATTTTTTCATTGCTTTTAGAGAGAGAGGAAGGGGGAGAGAGAAACATTGCTGCCAGAAAGAAACATCAATTGGTTGCCTCCCGTATGCAGCCGGACCAGAGATTGAATCAGCAACGTAGGTATGTGCCCTGACCGGGAGTCAAACCTGCAACCTTTCAGTTACAGGAGGATGCTCCAACCAACTGAGCCAAACCGGCCAGGGCAAGTACTGTATTTTGCCGTGTATAATGCACACCCACATTTTGGCCCAAACTTTCAGGAAAAAAATCATTTCAATTTTTTAATTTAATTTTTTATTTCTCTACATTTAGAAACAAAACCAATTATCATATTCCAGGGTATTGTTTTGCATACAGATATTGTTACTGCTTTCTAGAGTTAAATTTTTAACGCATAGCATAAATAAAAGAATTAAAAACATTTCTATAGATACAGAATTAGTACTACCCATGTAGAATGTGTATCCTTAATTTTCCCTCAAAAATTTGGATGGAAAAGTGCACATTATGCATGGCAAAATACAGTAATCACTGTTTGTAGTGGATAATTTGGAGCAGCAAATGCTTTATTTGGAAGTCAAATAATTATAAAGAGATGATAGTACATATTAGTTCATAGTATGTACCATTTTGAGAATGTAGAGAAGATGGTGATTATGTGAAAGTTACCAGCTAAGGCTGATATTTTGCAGGAGAGTGTAAAAGGTGTTAAAATGTCTGATTCCAATATAAAGTAATAGATTGGGTTAACTCTGATCACTTAACCTAATATAACTTTTCTATGTAATAAATTTACATGTAATTGTTCAGAACTTAAAAACGTATTTCAGATGTGTTCACAAGATACATTCCTGGATATTTCTTCAAGACCAATCCAGACTTTTCTTTCCTATTGGAAAACTGTGTTCTGGCTGACTAGACAACTCTGTATTTGTACAGGTCTAGCCAAAAGGACAGTAGGCTTCAGTTGACTTTTTTTGTAGTTCCCTGACTTTTTCGTCCTTCACAAGCATGTTATGAAGATTAGTTACATTAGAAATGAAAGGTGCTAGTGTAATGGTATGGTTTCATTTGAAAACCACAGTACATAATATAGAGCCTGTTTTAAGTGGGCTCTCTGTATATAGTAGATGTGTGTAAATAGAGTTTTTTGAGTTCAGGGAATATTTATATATAAAGAATACAGACCTATATTCTTGCTATTGCTCAATTATGGTTCATGTTTTAGAGAGTAATGGTAACTGAACAGGATGAGTGTTCATCCCTTTTGGCATACAGCAGAGCCAAACATTGAACACCCAGTTTTGCAGTGATGAAAGTACAGTCACTTTATTTGCAGAATGTTAAGCAAGGAAAATGGGAAGCTGTATTGCTTAAAGCCAGAACAATGACTTATCATTCAGGGCTGTTAAGGGTAAAAATCATGAGTAAGGGGTTCAAGGGTCATAGGCTTTGATTTTTATGCAAGCTTCAACAATCAGATTTATTCAACTCCTGGCAGCATCCTTCCTGTCCTGGTCTAGTAACAATGGCCAAGTGGTCTCAAACAGAAAGAGAGTTCTGTAAAATATCTTGGATTGTGAGTCAATGACATTATATTAAGAGCAGAAAGAAAAAAGCAGAGCTATACAAAGTCTGTTCTGAAAGTGTCCAGCCATGTACTATGAAAAATAGAGACATTGATTGAAGAAGATACAAAATACAAGAAACATTGTACATAGGACAGTGATGCCCCTATCCCCTTCACTGTAAGCATCTTGGGACCTCACACAGTTCTCCCAGTCCCCACCAGCTGCCCCATCATATTTTCCTGAACCTCATCAACGGTCTGAATTCTCTCCCCTCCCAAAGGTGAGTTTAGTTTTGGGAGAAGCCAGAAGTCACAAGGCGCCAAATCTGGGCTGTCGGGGAGCTGAGTCACCTGGGTGACTTGATGTTTTGCCAAAAAATTCTGTGTGAGACGTGATGCATGAGCTGGCATTTTGTTGTGATGAAGCTGCCAATCACCAGTTGCCCATAGCTGTAGCCTTCTGAGTCATCCGAATAGTTTCTGTGGAGGAATGTTCAAGCTTAATGCAAAATTTGTTGCAGATTTGTTGCTCTACTCTCTCGGTCATTTTGAATGTGACGGCCACACAATACACATGCTCACTCAACAGTGTCTACTGCCCCTGCTGACTAGTGTAGTGAATGCATGTGCATTCTAGTTCACTCTCCCTGGCGGCCAGGTTACATCGATGTCATGCATACTGTTCTCGTTATAACAATGGCTGGACTTTTTCCAGACAGACCTCTCATATTTCGTGCTTACCAGGCTGCATTCTTCTGTTATCTTAAGCAGAGCCTACCTCCTGAAGCTTGCTTTATAGGCAGGTCTGTAGGGCCCAAGACATGACTACATTCCAGTGCAGCTATGACTCTTGAGAAGGGCTAATTTAATCATTTTATCTCAAAGCTAAATTCTAACATAGCTAATCTGTTATGATTTGCTCTTGGTTTCATTAATATTCCATAATATGATAGAAATGTAGTTACAACTAAGAAGCCTAATGACATTTGTATCAGGAATATTTCATTGCTTTTCCTTGTCAGAGAAAGTAAATGAACCTGAAAAAAGTCATGATTAATGATATACTGAGATAATATATGTTTGCATATGCTATTCTGATGCTATGTTGGGAAATGTTTTAGGTATGTTATATAGAGTCAGATGGGGATTTTTAAATACATAAATTGTAACTCAGTCTGTTTAGTTGAATCATTTAACATGTATGGGAGAAAGAGGAGGAACAATAGTAGATTTTTACATACAGAAAAAAATGTCAGCCTTTTAACATCCCTTTTTTCTTTCTTTTTTGTGGCTGGTTAAACAGCATGTGGGTAGGTGCAACCTCTGATTATTATTACTTGGATATGTCAGGATATAAAAGCATTGACCAGAAAGAAATGTACAGGAAAATGGCAGAAGGATCTGGGAAACAAAGTATTTGATTGAAAAACAGGCAAAAGGCACAAATTATCAATCAATGACTTGAGAAAAAGATCCTAGAAATTAGGTTATGCATTCTCTTTTTCCTAAATTAAAAATTTTTTAAATTTATTTTTAGAGAGATGGGAAGGGAGGGAGAAGGAGAGGAAGAGAAAAATCAATGTGTGGTTGCCTCTCACGCACCCCTTACTGGGGACCTGGCCCACAGCCCAGGCATGTGCCCTGACTGGGAATTGAACCGGTGACCCTGTGGTTTGCAGGTTGGCATGCAGTCCACTGAACCACACCAGCCAGGGCAGGTTATGTATTCTCAAAAGTATAAGATTTATTTGTTTGTACCATTCTCATTACAAAAAGGATTAGAGACAAAGTAGATGGGTTATGGCGAGGTGAATGGAATAGGAGGAAGGAGGAAACTGATTTTCTCACTACGAAGTTTTTCTCTTAACTTGAGCTATGGTCTTACTGCCATCTTCCAGGGGGAGCTATGTTCATCTGGTTAAATAACATACTTTGGCAGCTCAGTGGGTGACTGAGTAATCTTTCCAATTCCTAACTCTAATGCTGATATCAAATAAATATTCTCAATAATACTTATCAAGTCATTTCATTTAGGCTCCTGTATTCTAGTGAAAAATATCTTGCCTTAATAATAGTCTATACATACAAACTTTTAAGCTTTTAGTAATAGGTCATAATATCTGTGTTACTGTATGTAATGATTAATATTTTACCTTAAAGCTCTAATCTAGACTAAAACTTGTACTACTTTTTTTTTTTTTAGGACAGCCAGTAGAGGGGACTTCATGTTTTCTGCAGATCGTTTGGTAGGTGGAGGCTTTCCATTTTCACTTTATTGTTGTTCCTAGTGATATAACCATAGTAAGCCAAGGGTTTTTTAGAGCATTCTGGGGGTGAGAGAGATTGTACCAAGTAACCTTCATCTTGCTAGACTTCTGAAGTATTGCTTCTTCTGTTGCATTAAAGCTCCATCTCTGTCTCAATCCCGTTCACCTCAAAGCATTGCCCATAAACTCATTTTCTCTAGCTTTCAGGTGCTCCTACATCTCAAATGGATCTCGGAAACCTGGTTATAAGTAACCCTTAAATGACTTATTTTAGGGCAGTGAAGTGAAGCGCTGGGTTGGCTAAAAATTTCGTTGTTTTTTTTTTTTTTCCCGTAAGATGGCTCTAGTAGCGCTTAGTTGTTTTTAACTTTTTTTTTGATGGATATAAAGTTACATATGATTTTCCTTAATGTTTTTAACTTTATTCAAAACAATTTTGTTAGATTGTATTGTGTCAACTGTCATATCAGCACGCATTTAAAAAACTTATCAAAATTGGTGAGTTTTTGTGTAGCTGTTTTAATATTGAAGATGGAAGAAAATACTCAACATTTTTTGGCATATTGTGCTTTGCTATTTCAAGAAAGGTAAAAATGCAACTGAAACGCAGAAAAAGATTTGTGCAGTGATGGAGAAGGTGCTGTGACTGGTCAAACGTGTCAAAAGTGGTTTATGAAGTTTCCAGCTGGAGATTTCTCACTGAATGATGCTCCATGGTTGGATAGACCAGTTGCAGTTGATAGCAAACATATTGAGACATTAAGTGAGAATAATCAACATACCACACGGAGATAGCTGACATACTCAAAACACCCAAATCAATAGAGATCTTGGTGAAAATGAAAAATATGCCTTTTATGGAAAAAACTAAATGGAGTTTTTGACCAACCCAATACATTAAAAGAAAAACAAAGATGTAAGGAGACCTAATAGTTACCCTGTAATATCCATCTAATGCACAAAAATTAATAACTCTTGCAGTTTACATGGGAGGTGTTTATTGTTCCTCTTCTTTGCGTAATGTGAAAGAAGAGGCACATGTGAAATATTAAGTTGGATTGTCTGTGCTTTCCTCAGGGACTTTTTGTTAAGGATTGACCAAGCTCAATTCTGTTTTGCTAGTGTGATCTGAGAGTATCTCAGACTAGATTGTGTTGTCTTCAGGGTAAGCACTGTGTTTCCTTCTTGTGTTTATATGTAAGTGTGCTCAGTTCTTACAATTAGATGGACACATTTTCTGCTGTGATTATTAATATTCATTCATTCATTCATTCATTCATGAAATATATATTGAACTCCTGTAAGTCAGGCACTGTGCTAAACTGTGTTGCAGGGAGAGGAGGTACAGCAGTAAAGAATACAGACATGTCCCTATTCTCATGGAGTTTGCAATCTAAATACTCTATTTAGTTTGGTAAAGAGATAAAAGTAGCTTATTAATTTTCATTTAGATTTTTCCTGTGAAAAATCTTTTAATTCCAAAGAGTAGAGACAACTATAGTACTTTTGCCTTTAAATATTCTTGGTTCAGAGGCAATTTCCATTTACAATTATTTGAGTTTATAAGGGCAGTAATAATCCTTGGATTTCATCAAGATAAATGTAGTTGACATTTCTGGAGTGGTAGTTAGGCCATTCTGTCATTATGCTTTTTATCAAATTAAAGGAGCAGTTTCAAGGAGGAGGGAGCTTGTGTCAATGGTAGCTGAGGGAAAAAGAGAGGTCTTGGGCATCATTAGTAGAAAATGGTTCCTCTTTCTTTTGCTTTTCATATTCCCCTTTTCTACAGAAAGTAGGAGTTAAGTTTGTGATTATTGTGAAATGCTTGCCTGAAAAAGAAGGCATTATACAAGAGGGGACCGAAAAAAGACCCAGAATTGTATTCTGGTGAGCAGGTCCCTTGTGGTACAAGCTTCTCCCACTAGGTAAGTGTTCTAGGAACCCATCTGTATCAGTGCACCAGTTGGTATTGTTATGAGAGGTTGCATTCGGCTTCGGTGAATTTTTTTGAAGACTCTTTCCATGTGTTTGCCCATTTCATGGTGGGTGATTTATGAGCACGCCAGCCCACACCACGCTGAGTGTTCAGCAGTTTTTGACCAAAATGTCATGACTCCTGTGCCCCACCCTCCCTATTCTCACCCCAAGCAACTTTTTTTTTATTTCCCCGGATGAAAGAAGTCCTCAAAGAGAAACAGTTTGCCCATGTAGAAGAGGTGAAACAAAAAACAGCAAAAGTACTAAAAGGCATCCAAATCGATGAGTTGAAAAACTGTTTTGAGCAGTGGAAAAAACATCTTGCTTAGGTATATTGCATCAAATGGGGAGGACTTTGAAGGTGACTGAAGCTTAAACATGTAAGAATAAATACCCAATTTTTAATAAATAAATTCAGGGGTTCCTTTGGGTCCCCACTTGTGTCTTAATCAAATGAGATAATAAGGACCCAGGGCATAACTCGCCTGAGGGGATGATAATTGGGGCCCCTCTGTTCTCTGCAATTGGCCGTGAAGGTCCTGATACTGGGAGACAGGAAGAAGAGGGTCTGTGTGTTGTGGTAGGAGCTGGAGCTGTTTAGGTTTCCAGTGTTGAGGATTTCTAGTATACTATCTCTTCTAGTACAAGTGTCCCTTTATAGTTGACATTAATACTACCCTGAGTTTATCAGAATTGGCTTCCCTGGCACTCATCTTAAGTTCTTTATATTTTAGTCAAATAACTTCTGGTTTTATGTTCTTGTATAAGGCTTAGACACAAATTTTTGTCTGAGGGTTGCAGGAAAGGTATTACTCTTTTAGAGGAGTCTTACTAGGAGGAGCTTTAGAGCTTCAAGGAAAAGGATCCTTTTCTTCCCTTGCAATTTGCTCATAAGAATCATTACCTTCCACAGAAGGTGATGGTTAGAAGTAAGTGTGTTCACACACAGTATTTATGAGGTTTCTGGACCCTCTGGTGCTGCAGCATGACAAAGTGCTGGCCCACCTAGCGTTGATCATTTTATTGACAACAGAGTATTGTGTTGTGGTAACAGTGCATGGGGCCTACCGTTTCTCCCTGCCGTTCCTGATTCTCAATCAATGGTGTAATATTGATTGCAGGAAATGTACACTGCAGACTCAGAATTGCCTTTATGGTAGTAGACCCCAGGTGCTCATAGGAAGGAATATCATACCTGGCTTTGGATGCTGTTTCTTGTAGTTCCAATGGATTCTTTCCTCTATACCACAAATTAAGAACATTGGGAGCCTTTTTTTTTTTTAAGCTAAGAAGCCCCAATGCATTCATTGGTTCCTACTTCAAGCTCAGTAAATTGGTTCAACCCCATCCATTCATTTATTTCTTACTAACAAGTTTCAAGCTTTATTTTACATTATGATGGGACTTGTTAAAAAGAATCTAACTGAACAGTTTCCAAGTACTGAACAAGGCAAAGAGGTTTCCTCTGTGCACTATTTCTAGAGTAACCACAAGTTTCCTTCCAAGGATATCTGCCGTGACTTTTGCCATTTGCTGTAGTTTTGTATCTCTTTTAATATAGCCTGGACTGACTGAATGAGAATCATAAGGCATACTTGAACTTTCTTTTGGAAATCAGGTGCCTAAACAAGGTTGAATACCTAGTAGCAAGCAGCCAGGCATTTTGATCTATCTCTGTACCTGACACACGATAGGAGCCCCTTTCCTTCCTCCATAAGCTAAATCCTTGCCTGCTGTGTAACTGAATTTGTCTAGTGTTTCGCTCTGGAGGCTAACAGGTAACAGGAGATTCTTACCAGATTTTCACCTTATCCTTTCTTTGACTTTCTAGATTAGACTTGTTGTGGAAGAGGGATTGAATCAGCTGCCGTATAAAGAATGCGTGGTGACCACTCCAACAGGTAAATATGAGCTGTTACTGTCACATTTTCCTCAAAAAATGTTGAGTTAGAATTGGAGGAAATGGAAAGAAAGCAGTCTGCCTAAATTAGTAGGCATAATGCGGAGTCTAGATGGAGCTGTTCTTTTAAACAACTTAATAACCTGGAGACATTTAGTAAAGAAATTTATGCGGATGACTTTTTGTTAATGGCTTGCTTGGGAATTCAAGTTAAAGGTTAATAAATATTCTTTAGCATGCAGGTGTTGCCTTTGATGACAGCCCATTGGAACAGGAGTTAAGAATTGCTGGCAGCTTATCTTCACCTCTGTGGGGAAGCAAATGGGTGGACTGGTTTGACATTGAAACTTTACATAAAAGTATGAGAAGTAAAAAAGAAAAATAAAACTAAAAATGATGAGAATTGGAGAAGATGCCTTGTGATACTCAAATAGAAAGCAGCCAAATATCCCTGTTTCAGGGATTTGAAATTCTGATTTTTTTTTTAAATAATGGAAGCTGTTCTATTCAAAGCTTGACTCTTCAAATTGGGGGCTGAGCTTGCCGCATAATTGAAACGCATTTAGGCTGAGGCCAAGGGTTGAATATATCTTGGTAACTACTTCAGTCTCTTTCTTTTGCTTTTTAAGGCAGAATGGAGGCTCATAAAAAGGAACAGAATGAGGAGGTTCTCTGCTGTGACACACAGTGGGGACCCATTTGAATTGATGGTGTTTATAACATTCTCAGAGTGCAATGATTCTCTGAATTCAATTTGAGGAATATGTTTGTGAATATCATACTATCATATGTCCTATTCCCACTTGATGAAGTCCACCTATCCCAGTTATCTCCATAGGTTTCTTATGAAGAATTAATAAATAACTATGAAAAGTCTTGACTCTTCTCATTACTCTCACAGGAAATCTAAGACATTATACAATGTATCTGGACAAGGGTTGCTTCATGCCCATCTGCTTTAAACCATAAGCACTTTATAAAATAAGTAGGTTGCTCTGATGATGAAAGATAAAATCTTTGGATTTATTCCTCAACAGGGTACAAGTATGAAGGAGTGAAATTTGAGAAGGGAAATTGTGGGGTCAGCATAATGAGAAGCGGTAGGTTCACATGTGCAATTTTGTCTCTCTGCATGTATAGAAACAGTTGTTATTTTCCAGGAGAGAAGTGAGCTTGTCTGTCCTAATTGCAGCTGCATCCTGCTTTAGCTTAAATCTCCCTGTGTTGTCTATCTTCATGTGGCCTTGGAATTGCGGTTTGTGTGGTGCTGAGTTTGGCTAATTCTAACTGCACAGCATCTTCCCTAGTGGCCTGCACGCCTCCATGGGCAAGCCAGCTTTCAAAAAGATTCAGAGGAGGGTGGGAGGATAGGAAGGTGCAATGATGCTGCCTTGGGGAGGACGGGGCAGCTGGAAGGCTAAGGGACTATGGCAGGATTTCAGGCCTGCAGAACTTTGCATACATGGCTGGAGAAAATATTTTTCTTCTTTTTCATTTCTTTTGTATGGAACAGTCATACCCTGTCAGGAGCTGGACTCAATATTTTTACTTTTATATTTGATGACTATGTGACCATCTAGGCAAAGGCACTTAACTGTCATTAACTCTAGGTGTTTCCAGTTGCTCAAAAATCAGTCCAACTGATATACCCTTCTAAACTAACCTTTGTGCAGCAAAATCACATGCCTATAATTAAAACATAGGTTACATGGAGGTGATTATTTCCATTCAGCAACTTAATTATTTTTTGAACAAGATCCAGGGTACAGTGAAAGCCCCAGTTGCTTGCACTGGAAACAGATGGGCTATTTTTTTTTAAATGTACAAACGTTCCCTTTTCTCTTCTGGCTATGAAGTTCTATTTGTGAGCAACTGACTGCCTGAAATAAAATAGGAGCTTTAAACTCCCTTTGTATTAGAAAGTACCGTATTTTGCCTTGTATAATGCACACTTTTTAGCCCAAATTTTAGAGGGAAAAATAAGGATACACATTATACATGTGTGTAATGATTACATACCATGGGTTTAATAATCCTGTATGTAATGCATGCAAAAACACAGGTGTGTGTTATACATGGCAAAGTATGGTAGCTCTTAAACAATGACAGGATTTTCAGGACAATGTTGTTTAACCTTTTAAAACTGGTAAAGACAGTGGAGATGGGCTTTTAAGTTACAATTTCTTCTGTTTTAGTCCAGCTCCTGCCCTAAAGGCAGCAGCATGGTCCTCAGACCCCTAATGTATACCAAACGACCATGGGGTGATGCATAGACAGGGTTATTTTTAACCTTAAGAGCTATTGGTCAGTTTTCATGTATATTAGAAACTGTTTTTATGTTTACAGTAGTAATTACAAAGTTTCCTCTTAAAGTACATGTAAACACAATCAGTTAATTTAAAGAAAAATATTAAGTAAATAATAATACAAGTAGAATTCTGAGGTAGCCTAAAATCTTTAAGGTAGTGGGAGAATGATTGACTTTGGAAAATACTTCCCTAAAAGAATTCAGACTCAGAATAGCTCCACTGTCAGAAACCAAGGGAGTGTGGGTGCTGTTGGTTGTGGTTCTCTGGGGGGAGAGAGAACAACACAGTACTTTTTCACTATTTGCCAGCAACTCCTTTGCCACTGAAGTTATTACTGGAGCTAAGTAATGTCTCCTGATGCCACCTTGATCTAAAAGGAGATCCTTTGGTCTGTAGCCTTCATTGTTCCATCAACCTTTTATATTTTTTCAGATGAAAGTAACAAATTTAGGTTGTTTAAAGGTTCCCTTAAATAATAAGAGTAAAATGTTCCAGATATTGGAAAAGCTCAGAGAGCAGCTCAACAAAACACTTTATTTCCTGTAATCGTAAAGCATGAGAGCTCTAAAACTTTCAAGCCACCCATAAAACTGGCTTATCCCAGTTTCATGGACTAGCCCATAACCTAGTTTCATTGACCTGTACTAACTCTAAAATATAAACATATGAGAAGTAAAGCTGTTAGCTTAAGAAGAATTGCTTCATCTTGACAATGTCCTTTGTGTATTAATAACAGTCACAAACACTGCTTTGGCCTATTCTTGACTCTCACTCTATCTCCCCTAACCCCTTTTTCCTTCGTTTTTATTTCCTTTTCAAGGTGAGGCAATGGAACAAGGTTTACGAGATTGCTGTCGATCCATCCGTATTGGGAAGATCCTGATTCAGAGTGATGAGGAGACACAGAGAGCCAAAGTATATTATGCCAAGTTCCCTCCAGACATTTATAGGAGAAAAGTCCTTCTGATGTATCCAATTCTCAGTGAGTGCTTTGGGTTTAATTTGTAACCTTTGGTTAGATAAGTTTAAATTCACTTTAGTGCATGCCTTCTGGGTGCCCTTTATAAGGCAGAAACTGTTTCTAAATGTGTTTTTTTTCTCAGTTGGATTTGGAGTTGCCTCAGGCAGTTCGCTGGCGAATTTTTAGTGTGTAGTAAGAGAATATACATTATTCAAACCTTATTAGTTCCAAAGAGCTTCTTTCTTAAAATGAACACACTGAAGCAACAGATCTAATGAAGCAAAATATATAAACACAGAAAATAATTGAAATATGTCCTCTCTTTAGCCCAGTGAGTTATAGCAATGAATTTTTTCAGGATTTATCCTCCCTGGAGGAAATGTTTTTTCTTTTAATATATTCTGTTTCCTAAACATACTCAGATCACACATGGCATGGTCTCCTGGGGTTGGGGGTGGAGGGTGTGTGTTAAAGTTGATATCTCAAATACTGAATGAATTTAGGACTTGTTGTGCCTTTGAAAACTGTAAAGTGTATGTGTCATGCCCATTATTGAAAATAATGTCATGGATAAAGAACAGGTACCTCAAATGAAGCTTTTTGTAGTGGTGTCTCATGTTAGATTACTGAACTGCCTTTACTTCAAAGAAGCATAAATGCATTTTGAGATAAATGTGAAAGTTGTCAATTCATTTGGTTGTCATTTGATTTCAGGCACTGGAAATACTGTAATTGAAGCTGTAAAGGTTCTTATAGAACATGGGGTTCAGCCCAGTGTTATCATTCTACTCAGTCTGTTCTCCACTCCTCATGGTAAGTTCAGCATGAAGCAGTAACTGGTGCTCTGGATGGGCATTTGGGTGGGTAAGTGTGCATCTGTCCAACCTCTCATCCTGACAAAAAGTTTATTTGCTTCCACATTAAATCTAAATCTAATTTTGCTAGTAAGCCTAGTGATAATATTTTGCACCATTCTTAATTTGTTCAAATTGAAATGGAAAAGTATGAACTAGTCCCAGGTAAGGAGATTGCAATTGTTTTCCTGGTGGCCCTGTTTGGGTAGAGTCTGCAAATGGCCAAAAGGTCCCTATTTCTCCTGGTTCCTCATATGAGCCTGAGAACTGTGCCCAAACAGCAAGAAATGATAAGTTCTAACTAGCCTTGTGGTCTTACTTAAGTATGCTTTGCAGTGTGAAGCAAAGAGCAGAACTTTTTAGACTTCTCAAAGAGCCTTGTGACAAAACTGTGTGTTCTCCATTTTCTGAGGGAGGTAAACCTAATTTAAGGCCCTACTTTTGTTTGCCATGCAATCTAGGACAATTATGAGAGTATCTTAATAAAATAATCATAGATGCACATATAAATATTTAATATAAGGAAAAATTTGAAAGTATGTAAATAACTTACAGTCAGGAAATAGTTAAACATATATATTCAAAAGATGTAATATTATGTAACTGTTAAATCATGTTTTTGAAAATGACATCAAAAAATCTATGTGGTGAATATAAAAGAGCAGGATAAATAAAAGCATTAGAATAGTGTTAAATGTTATTACCAAGTTTAGAGATGACTAATACAAATTATGACTATTATGACTACTAAAATCACACTTGGATTTAACATGGAACCTAATCTTCAGCAAGAGAGGCTAGGCAGATGCATAATACTATTTCCATCTTCATTTTAAAATACACATACAACATTAACAGTGGTTATTTTAGGATGGTAGGATTCTAAGTGGTTTATTTTATTTTTTAAGGTTTTTAATATTTTCCAAATGTTCCACAATAAATTTGTATTTGTTTCATAACTGAAAAGAAAGAAATATATGGCTTCTAGTTAGGGCATTTCTTCATTTGCAAAGGTTCCAAGTCTCAGGCAAACCTTGAATTGGCCATAGAGTATCTATATTGGGAGGGCTGTGCTCAGTAAGCCATTGATTATTTTGCTGTTTTGTAATAAAAAAAATTAGCTGTAGATCAAATGTTGGTGTTGACAAAGTGTGATATGCTTGGCCATCTATTTATATATAACAGGTGGCATTGTAAACATTGAGATAACCAAATAATTATTGGGTTGTCTGCCTTTGGGAGTAGACAAGCAACTGTGTTAGCTCCAATAGTATACATTACGATATTATACTATTCTTTGACATTATAAATGAAAAAAAATCATATTCTGTGGCAGCCTTGCTATTGCTTTCTAGCTCAACTGGGGTACTGCCTAGTCCCTTTCCTGGATCCCTCCCTCCACCCTCCCCTGTTAAAGCTAGAGTATTAATTTCTTAAAAGCTAGCTTGTACCGACATAACAAAGAAGTCTTTACACTTGTTTCACAGTGTTCCAGTTGAGAAATCATCATATGTATGATTCTGTTTTCAGAAAGAACTGTAGTCTCCCTATTCTGGCTGCCTTTAAAATAAAATAAAATATCCTTTATGGAAGAAGTTGCTATAATTTAATATGTTTTTCAAATCTTGGATATAAAATAATGATTGTAAGAATTTATTAGTCGGTCGGGGTGCAGTCTGACTTACCATCAAAGCTTTTCAGATATCAGACATTAAAAAAAACTGATTAACCAAGTCTCACTAGGTACACAAACGTCATTGCTGTGTCCTCTCTCAATATGAGGCCTAGTGACTGACCATAAAATTCCTGAATTCCAACTAATGTTATCAAAAATCCTGCAATAATAATAATTTTCTTCCTTTTATTTTTTGAAGGTGCCAAATCAATCATTCAAGAGTTTCCAGAGATCACAATTTTAACCACTGAAGTTCATCCTGTTGCACCTACACATTTTGGGCAGAAATACTTTGGAACAGATTAAGTTATTGAAGAAAAATTTATCTTGTGTAATATTACAGTTATGTTTTGAGTTTTTACATGTTTTACTGATTCAGTTGAAGAATAGCAGAGAAAATTGTGTTAAATATGCTTAGCAATTTTTGGAAGTGGGTATAGTAAAAAGAAAACATTTGAGGTTTATTTATTTTATTTGGTCATTTCTGGACTGTTTTCACCAAATTCAACAGTGAAGTACACACAACTCTTAGAAAATATTTTAATAATATTTTCATGCAAATTGCTGATCCCTCAGTGGGTTGAAACTGGTCCCTCATTTATGAATCTCTCAGTTTGGAGATTGCTTGCAGCCACAAATAAAACCCGAATGGGAGTAAGTTCTTTGGCCCACTATAGTTTGCATTTTGTTTAGTTTGCTTTTAGGTCTAGCTTTCATTTATGTGGCTGTTTTCACCTTCCTCTAGTATTTGTTTTCCAGTACTATATATGCTGGTAACTTGGAGAGGATGAAAAAAGAATTCCGCCTTGAATTTTATATTTCCTTAATATCCTCACTCAATTGGCAGACCCGGGATATGTGGCTGGCTTTTTCAGTCAGACCATTATGTTCTTCCTGACTCATTTCCTACCCTGTGTAGTGCTAGTAGGTGACTTGCCAAATGTAATGCAGTGAAGAAAATGGTGGCGCATTTCCTGCAACTGGAACTGTAACATTAACTCACGTAGATCGAAGCCGGGATGGCTGGACACTGACGAGGGAGGGATAAGTACTGTTAATGTCATCGTTGTCCTAGAAAGAAATTGGTGGTGGTTTTTCTGAGGTGAGAGAGAAAAGGACAGTTTCTTGCTGGCTTTTATGGCCAATAAGTAAATGAAAATGCTGGATTTTTACTTTGAATATTTCTACTAGAGGCTTTTGATTTGGAAATTAGTTATTTTTGCATGTTTGTCAATTGCAGATAAATCAAAATAGAAAAGACACCATGATATTTTTAAAAATCCCTAAACTTTTTTCCAGTTTTATTTTATTTTTTAATTAATTTATGTTTCCAAATACGTTTGTCTCCGCCTTCCCCCTAAAAATCCCTAAACTTTATGTATTCATATTTAAACTTCTCAAAGGAAGATAAGCCTTTTTAGAAATTGGTATTTCTGTTCTGAATCTTTCTTGTGAAATCCTGATCTCACTTCACATTGATACTGAAACATTTTAACAGTGGTTACTGGCTGATTCTTTGATTAAGTATAATCTCATAGCCCCATAGGCTGTTTTGGTGGACCTCTGCTTAAAAAAGAAAAAGAAAAGAGCAGAAGGCAGTGTGTTAGAAAGAACCAAAGCTAATGAAAGCCAGCAAAGACTGAGGTAAAGAAGGAAATTTGGTGTTTAGTGGAATGGACTGCATTTTCCCTTTGGAGCGTAAGCACACTAGGACTTCATGATATTTTTTTCTTTTTTGTTTAAAGACTGTCATAATAAAGTGAGATTAGTTGATAGATGACCCATAGTATAATTCTTCCATGGCAAATGTTGTTTTCATGTTATTATTAAAATTATTATTTATACTTGTCTAAGTATTTTTGATACAATGTTGATTTTATTTATTCCTGATTAGGAGAAGCTGTAACTGAAGCCCATTAAAACCAAAATCTTTATCTTCCTGTCCCAGGAAATATGTTAGCCAGCAAATTAGATAGAGACCAGATCTGCTTTAGGTTGATACATAGAATTAGTGGGAAAGGTGTTATCTACCACTATAGGAGTTAGTGCTTCTGAGCTAGTGCTTATGTTAGGGCTTCAATATTTTGTTTGAAGTGACATGCTAGAATATTAGACAAATTCATATTCAAGTGTAGGTATAAAACCGTATTTCAAGCAAATTATTTTTATATTATCAGCCATTTAGATTTAATGTATCTTTGTTCCTTTTCATCACTGAACACGATAAGGAGTTGACTGCATTTGGTTCCCACATGGAGGGAATTTCTGTAAGCAGTAGGAATTACTCAGTGGGGTCATATTTCTGTTGGTGTATATATACTCTACCACTCTGAAAATTTCAAGAAAAATTGAAACTGTGTCTTCTGAAATTTGGATCTTTTCAGCAAATTAGGCATTATTTGTAAGATGAATCACTTGCAGTACTGCTTGGGCCCAGGAAATTTTCTAAATGACACAATATTAATGGACTATTCAAAACAAGATTATTTTTAATGGCATGACCTTCAGAGCAGTGTAAACCATGTAAATTCCTTCTTTTAAAGTATATTTTATTGATTATGCTATTACAATTGTCCCATTTTTTTCTCTCCTCTATCCCCCTCCACCCTGCACCCCCCTCCCATCAGCATTCCCCCCGCCTTAGTTCATGTCCATGGGTCGTACATATAATTTCTTTGGCTTCTCCATTTCCTATGCTATTCTTAACCTCCCCCTGTCTATTTTGTACCTACCATTTATGCTTCTTATCCCCTGTATCTTTTCCCCCATCCTCCTCCCGCCCCCCCCCCCCCGCTGCTGATAACCCTCCATGTGATCTCCATTTCTGAGATTCTGTTCCTGTTGTTTGCTTACGTTGTTGTTTTTTTTTTAAAGTTTCAGTTGTTCATAGTTGTGAGTTTGCTGTCATTTTACTGTTCATAGTTTTGATCTTCTTTTTCTTAGGTAAGTCCCTTTAACATTCCAAATAGTAAGGACTTGGCGATGGTGAACTCCTTTAACTTGACCTTATCTGGGAAGCACTTTATCTGCCCTTCCATTCTAAACAATAGCTTTGCTGGATAGAGTAATCTTGGTTGTAAGTCCTTGCTTTTCATGTCTTTGAAAACTTCTTGCCAGCCCCTTCTTGCCTGCAAGGTTTCTTTGGAGAAATCAGCTGATAGTCTTATGGGAACTCCTTTGTAGGTAACTGTCTCCTTTTCTCTTGCTGCTTTTAAGATTCTCTCCTTATCTTGAATCTTGAGTAATGTAATTATGATGTGCCTTGGTGTGTTCTTCCTTGGGTCCAACTTCTTTGGGACTCTCTGAGCTCCCTGGATCTCCTGGAAGTCTGTTTCCTTTGCCAGATTGGGGAAATTCTCTTTCATTATTTTTTCAAATAAGTTTTCAATTTCTTGCTCCTCCTCTTCTCCTTCTGGCACCCCTATAATTCAGATGTTGGAACGTTTAAAGTTGTCCCAGAGGTTCCTAAGCCTCTCCTCATATTTTTGAATTCTTGTTTCTTCCTTCTGTTCTGGTTGAATGTTTATGTCTTCCTTCTGCTCCAAATTGTTGATTTGAGTCCTGGTTTCCTTCTCTTTACTGTTGACTCCCTGTATATTTTTCTTTTTTTACTTTGCATAGCCCTCATTTTTTGCTCTATTTTGTGACCATACTCAACCAATTCAGTGAGAATCCTGATTACCAGTGTTTTGACCTCTGCATCTGATAGGTTGGCTATCTCTTCATCTCTTAGTTCTTTTTTTTTTTCTGGAGTTTTGATCTGTTCTTTCATTTGGGCCACATTTCTTTGTCTTGGTGCACCTGTTACATTGTGAGGGGTGGAGGCTTAAGTATTCCCCAGGGCAGGGCCCATGTTGCTGTGTTGTGGTGCTGTCTGTGGGAGAGGCGTCAGAGAGGGAACTATGCCACTTGCTCAGCTCTTGGCTGGCTTTCAGTCACTTCTCCTGCTACCCACAAGCAAATTAGACTCTTCTGATCCTGATTCCTGGGTGGGTGAGTGTGTGTACGTTCTAGGACCCTGTGAGTCTTTCCAACAAACAGTCCTGTGAGGCTGGGAGTTTCTCCTGCTGCCACAACCCCCACAGGTTTCCAGAGGTTTTGAGGTTTTCTTTTCCCAAGGTGGAACCCTGGGTTGTGTAGCCAGTCTCACTCCCCAGTTGTTCCTCCCAGTTTATCCACACACAAATGTGGGACCGCCAGGCGCTGCCTCGCCCGCCCAGTCCTCCGGCTGCCGCCTTGCTGCGTGTCCTCTCCACCCTGGCTGCCAGTCTCCACCCCTCCTACCAGTCTGGATGAATGGTTCTTCTTTAACTCCTTAGTTGTTGGGCTTCATACCGTTCAATTTTCTGGCAGTTCAGGTTGTGTTTTGTTTTTAAATTTGTTGTCCTTCTTTTGGTTGAGTGAGGAGGCAAAGTGTATCTACCTGAGCCTCCATCTTGGCCAGAAGTCCTGAACTTTGCAAATTCCTTATTGAAAAAAAGAAACACTAACACTGTAAATATGCCACTCAAACAGTATAGAGAGTGGGGCAAAAGTAGGGGTACAATTCATGTGGAAAATAATACAGTAAATAAATACACAAGAATAAATTCTGTTTCATGTTATCACAACTGTAAAGCTACTTTTTCCCTACTCTGTACATCAGTGTTTCTCAAAAGCTGAATGTCGATCACAATCACCTGGAAGGTGACAGATGGCTAGGCCTCACCCCTGGAATTTCTCATTCGGTAGGTCTGGAGTAGGATTTGAAGACATATTTCTGAGTTCCCATGTAATGCTGATATTGCTGGTCTGGTGGCCACACTTTGATTCAGACACTTCTTCTTTCATAATATAAGGATTGAATGATACCAATTTCCCTATTAATACTAATTATGTGTAATCCCACATTTTTTATATGTTGTGTTTTCATTTTCATTTGGGTCAAAATACTTTTTCATTTCTCTTTTGATTTCTTCTATTTAAGGGTTATTTAGATGTATTATTTAATTTCAAAATATAGGATTTGTAGATTCCTTTTTGGTATTGATTCCTAATTTAATTCAGTGAATATACTTTATATGAATTCTTTTAAATTTATTGAGATTAGTTTTATGGCCCAGAATATAGTCTCTCTTGGCAAACCTCCCCTGAAAAGTTTGCGTATCCTACTGTTGATGGGTGAAGTGTTCTACAAATGTTAATGAGGTTAAGTTGGTTGATAGTGTTGTTCATTATTAACAAGTTTTCTCTTTCTCTACAGGTGTTTCTGTCTTTTTGTTTTATTAATTATTGAGAGGGTTGTTGAGGTTTCTGACTAAAATTTTATTTGTTTCTCCTTTTAGTTCTATCTCTTTTTGCTTCAAGTATTTTAAAGTTCTGTTGTTAGGTGCATGAACTTTTAGGATTGATAGATTGACCCTTAATCATTATAAAATGCCTCCTTTCATCCCTGGTAATATTCTTTGTTCTGAAATCTACTTTGACTGAAATTAATAGAAACATCCCAGTAATTTTTTCCAAGTGAGTTTGTCATTT